TTTTATTCTAACGTCCAATTTATAACAAATTATTTTGAATATATAACATAATAATTTATAATAATATTATTTTATAAAATAAAAAAAACAAACAAAACATGTGTCCGGCCGGTCGGAAAATCTATCGTTGTAATCGTCAAAATCCAACGGAAATTCCAATGGAAAACTCATTCCAACGGAAAATTTTTGTTGGAATTTCCGTTGAAATTATTCCAACGAAATAATAGCATTGAAATATCCATTGAATTGCCGTTGAAATTCTATTGGAATATACGTTGAAATTTTTCTTGTAGTGCTATCTAACAAATAAATTAAAAACAGATCACAATTTAAACTCATACAGATTAATAATGGGAATTTTATGCTTTTATTTTAGAATCCAAACATTTATTAGTAGTGGAAGTGATAACATCAACTAGCAAATTAGTATTTTAAGAGAACATAAATAACAGAAAATGTGAAATTGTTATTTTTGGCAACGGTTCGTATTTAAAAGCTTTTAGTATCATGTCATCTACACCGCCACGTGCTCCTCGCTCAACTCCTTGAACAACCTAAAAATTAATATTATTGGAACTAGTGTGATTTATCTACAAGAGAATTTCATCTTCAAAACTAAAATGTAAAGCAAAGTTGGTTCACATAATTTTGTATGTCTGAAGTTGTAACATAACAAAGATGACAATTGATAAGTAACAGATTTTTGTAACGCAACAACTCAAGTAATTGATGACAAGTGTCGTGCATTTTTTTATAACATACCTTCAATAAGTGTATAGTAAAATAATGCAAGATGTACATAATTAATAACTTGTCATTCACATAAACAATTAAGCTATAGAAGTCAAATCACGTATTTAATAAAGACAAAATGTAAAAACTTTCATCTTAAATAAAAATAGTAAGTTGAATGCTAATATCTTTCGTATAAACTTCTTGAAAGAGAATGGCTTTATTTCGTAATGATATATTTTGGTATTTGATAACTACACAAAAAACTTCATTATAACACTCTTTTGCACGCTAACATTCATATGGCCACCATCATTTAATACCAGACTAATATACCCAAAATTCAAGCTATCTTTTTTTATAAAAAAAAAAGCTGTAAACTTACAAATATAAATGAACTAGTTAAATAAATGCAAATAGAAACTTTATATTGAATTAAGATCTAGCACTGACTGTAAACATATTCATGCCATGATTGGTATGATTAAATAAAGTTTAATAAGAATAGAAAGAATTGAAAAATGGAATGATTATGAGATTGAAATGGATCAAGTTTTTTCATTGATGTGTTTGTTATGAAGAAAAAATATGACATGAATGAAATGACATTATCATCCTATATTATTATTTACCACTATAGTAAAAAAATTGTTTTAATATTTATATGAATGTTATTTTCTTATTTATAATAATACTAAAATTATTTTAATTTTTAAATGTAATATATTTTAATAAATATATATATTTATTGTTACACTCATCTTATATAAGAAATAAGTGAATTATGAAATGAGGCCTTTAGGCCGAATGATTGATAAAAGACTACTAGGGATTCTAGCTTAAGTTACATACATCTTAACTAATACAAATATATCATTACATAAATTCCTATAAACATATGTGGTCAGATATAATTATTTATAATATAATCAATTAATGAAAAATACGTAATATAAATGATTATATAGAAATAAAATAATATCCATCTAAACTACTTATAAATGCATTTTTTGTGAGTTGAAATTTTATAGAAGATTTAATATATCTAAGTAAAATATGAATTATAAATAAATAAATTATTTTTATTTATTTAGTATTTATTTTTTTAAAATGATTTTATTTAATATAATTTATTCATTATCTATAGTACATATTATATATTCATTTTTTATTCTTATTTTTTAATTTTATCTTTTGAAAAACATAATCCTAAAGATATGGGAATGAGAAAATCATGCATTAGTTAGAATGACGAATCCCATTGAGATGGATTTTGCGATTCCCATTGAATAGTCATTCATTTCTATAAAATATACCAATCATAGAATTAAGAATGAGTAAGAGAATGATCATTTTATTCTCATGTCATTCGATCATACTAATCACACCATAATTGTTTTGCTGTTAGTTTGGAAGACAGAGTAGAAATTCTTAACATTATTGTTTTATGTTTTCTCAATATATCTAATGAAACCATTTTTAGAAATACAAAAATAATTATATTTATATATACAAACATACATGTAATTATGTAATCCTACATCAGAACGCATATTTGTATTTATAATATAATATATATGTATAGAAATAATAGAGTTGAAAAAATGTAATTGATAAATTTTATTACATGACATACATATTACTTTGGTTTATATAAATTATTTATTCTTACGGGTTCAAGTAATTATTAATAAGATTCATAACTTGTTGGTTATTACGTACAAGTTACATTCTAAATTATGTTGTCATCAACGGGACCACTTTTCTCCGTAAGTTTTCTTGAGATGTAAAAAGGAGCCTTTTTATGTACCTGTTAGGCGTGCTGAAGATCACAATAATATGTTTTAAGCCACCCATTCATAATTTCGAGTTCTTTTTTTCTTTGTGCTATCAGCCACTCTGGATCCTCTTTTGTTGCTGGCTGTAGGTCTAGGCAATGTGAACCTGCAAAATTTATGTAGTGCATATAGGTGTTTTTTTTACGATTTATTTCGACCTACTAGTAATTGCATTTTTTTACTGTAGGATCTACACACCCGCGTAAGTATATGTATGTGTGTGTGTGTCTGTACTGATCCAATGATATCAACACGATGACTGTACTGTAATCACAGACAGATCAAGTCTTCCGTTTCTCCACACAATTTGTGATAGCAAAGAGCGTTATAAAAAAGTCTCATCTTGATGAGATGACACAAAACAATTTGACATTGTTTTATGTAATTTTAGAGCTAAAGTCACACATTTATTAGACTACCTTATTCTTCTTATTT